CCTTTGAGAAGCCTCTATGTGTTCGGCCACCCAGAAGTGTTCCCATTCTTGCCCTGTTGAGCTTTCATGGAGACTTCATCACATAGGCGTGGGTGAAACATGGATAAGCATGTAAAACATGACTGGACAAGAAGTTACGTTCTAGAATGCCTAGCCTGGGTAGAGAAGCTTAGCAAGGCTACCAGTCTGATTTTGCGGCATCCCTGGAGAGGGGAGAAAAACTCTCTCTTAAGTTCAGGTATTATGTCAAACAGGATGGCTAAGTATCTATGTTCAGTGCCTCCAAGACTGTGTGTGTGTGTGTGTGTGTGTGTGTGTGTGTGTGTGTGTGTGTTGGAGAGGGGGAGTCGTTTTTATACCCAGCTTCAGGGAAGAGAAATTCTAGTTGCTGTGGCTTACCTTGAGGACAAAAAGGGAGCTAGAAACCATGGATCATATACATATACATATACATACACATACACATACACATACACATACACATATACATATACATGTGTGTATCATAATTTCTATGCTTTGATTTTGGTCTCTGCTCAGTTCCTGCCCAGACCAGTGGGGTAGGGCAGAAGTAAGCCTAATAAGTGCTAACCCTGCATTGCCATGGTAGCATGCCCAGGCTAGCCTGCTGGAGGAGCTGACTGACTACCTAGAGGAAGGAGCTGACTGACCCTGACAGCGTGCTCATACCAGAGCTTAGCTGAGACAGCTTACGTTGGTCTAGACCAAAGAAGCCACTGTACCTACCCACAGTCTCCTGGACAATAGCACATGCCCATGGTTCCCAGCCACTGAACTGTGAGGTACATTGTTATTCAGTCAGGAGCACCAAGAGTGAGCAGTCCCTAGCAAGAGCATGAATCAATAATATTCTTCAGGTCAGAACACAAGCTAGAAACTGCTATGTCAGAATAGGCTTATGAGCAGAAACGGGATGTTCTAAGATTTAGAACGAAGACTTACCTTTCCTCGTGCAGTAGGAAATAGATAAGTGCTTTAGAGCTGGTGTACTCGATCCCCAAGTTTATTTGGGACCCATTTTCCTTCCTGTTAACCCTGCTGTCAGCCATTACCAATATGTTGCTGTGTCTCCAGAGCTGCAACTATGTTTCAGGAAGACAGTGAGGACGTGCAGTGTTTGTTTGCCTCTTGTTTAAATGGTGTTTTAGTCAGGTTTCTTTAAGAAAAGTGAACAGACAAACCATATGTGTCAGTTTATTAGAATATCCCACAGGATGTATGCATTCCAACAATAGCTCTCTCACACTGGAGAGGCTGAGAATCCAGGAGTTGCTCAGTCCAAGAGGGTGGATGTCTCAGCAGTCCCAGCCCTGTGTTGGAAAAGCCTGGAGAGCCACTGATCTTCAGTCTGCCTCAGATGCCCAAAGAAGCTATGTCCAAGGTCGGTGAAGGACTTCTACAGAGATGGCATCCATAAACTTGCTGAGGAAAGCGGGCAAAACAAAGAAACAGGGGGAAAAAAAGATAAAGATAAAAATTTCCGGGCTACCACCAAAAGATGCCGCTTAGGGTGAGACTTCCCACCAAATAATCAATCTGACTGAGAAAATCCCTCACAGGAAAGGCTCGAGGCTTGGGTTTAGTAGATTCCAAATCCAGGTGAGCTGACAGCCAAGGTTAGTCACCACAAATAAAGGGAAACACATTCAGCTGGGAAGGAAACAGATTCTAGTCGTGTTTTTACTGGGCTGAACTCCGCTGAATGCTCATCTAGGTGTGGAGTTTGAACAAGGTGAGATCACCCCGGGCCCCCAGTGAGCTGCTTTCCCTTAAGAAGGCAGGAATCTGGTACCAAGCAAATCTAGGAATGGCTATGGATGAGGCAACTTTGCTCTTTATTTCAGAGAAAGCATCTTACTTAAGAGAATCATCCAAAGGGAAAAACAGCCAGTGTACTCAGTGTAAAGACTGAGAGGTTTTGCTGAGCAGGGGACAGGGCACTGGAGTAACTTCCAGGACCAGCTCCACAGCTGACCCGCCAAGCAATGATCCTCATCCTCTCTCTTTTCCCCTTGAAATCAAGACATTAGAGAGAAACTTTCAAGAAGCGGTGGAGACTAAGATGGGAATGACCATTTGGGACTGATTCCCTACCTACAACCATTCATTTGGTCTCACAACAAAGCTGTGCATAGGCTATTACCTCACTTAGAGGGGCGGTGGCAGGTGGGGGCATGCACATGTGTGGTTGTGGGGGTGGGGTGGGGAAGGTGGAATGAGTAGAAACCATACAGGTAACAGATCCATAGCCAGAAAATGCCCAGGGTGACTAGGCTCTGTAAGTCTCCAAGGCTGGGGGCTTCTTCCCATGGCCCGACCTGTCTCCAGATGAACATGGGTTTGTCCATTTTGCTGGATTTAAGTAAGTCAAAGTCTTCGGAAGTTGGCCAGGTGTCCTGGGCAGCAGAACCTCCTGAGGAGTTTACCGGCAATGCGGATTCTAGGACTGCCTCCCGAGGAACTCAAGCAGGCGTTCCAGGGCCCAGACCCGGACATCTGCATGAGGAAATCTGCAGCCAGAGCCCCCCCCCCCCCCCCCCCCCCCCCCCCCCCCGCTTCTAAAATGACAGTTTACTGTTCCACTCTAACCCAGCTTATTTTCAGTTCTGTGGCTCATGGAAATTTCCTCCTAATATCAGGAAGATACGGTTTAAAAATAATCTGTTTCCCCTTCCTGGTCCTCGGTTTTCTAGGGAGCACACTTAGTTCCATGGAAAATGTTAAAGACCTGGAAGTGTGTCATGGACGGCCTCGCGTTGACCAGTACAGGCTTCCGAAGGCAAAGCCTTGGGTGAGACTCAAGGTTAACATCCTGCAGAGGGGATGGGCAAAGAAAATGGCATTAACTAAATATTTACTATGTCTCAGACACTGCTCCAGACACATTGTGTCATTAAGGCACCCTGGCCTTATGAGTCAGTCCCTTTCATTTGTAAGTGGGTTAGGTGCTTTTATTATTTGCTACCCACTAATAAAGATAACCAGAGGGGAAAAAAACCTATAGGATTAATTATTCATGCGTTAAGTAAAAAAAAAAATCTCTTGAGATCTTATGCAAGACACACACTAGACCAGGAAAAGTAAAGTAGGGGGAGGGGCATCATCTTGGCATTTGTCTGTAACGCCGGCGGTGGGGGGGGGGGGAAGTGGGGAGCTGAAGAGACAAGAGGGCTAAAGCAGGAGGGCTCCAAGTTCCAGTCTAGACTGGTTTACATACAACAAGATCCTGTCTTTAAAACCCAAGGGCTGGGGGAGGTGAGTGGTTATGAGCCTTGCTGCTCTTTGCAGAAGAAGGGGTTCTGTTCCCAGCACCCACATCAAGCAATTCGCAACCACCTGTAACTCCAGTTTCAAGGGATTAGAGGCCCCTCTTCTGGGCTCCAAGAAACACAGCATTCGCTTGGAGCACATACTCACAGGCACACACATAAATCTTTAAAAAGGACGTAGCTTATCTGTAGAGTACTTGCCTAGGAAGTACAAGGTCTTTGGGGCGGGGGTGAGGTGGGGGCAGGCACCGGACATTTTAGGTGTGACAAGACCCTTGAAGTCTCCCAGAGTCAATCGCATTTGAAGCTGGCCAGTCAGTCTCTGTGGCTTCAGTGCACTTGAGCCAGGGAAGCTGAGGGCTGCTGGATCTGGAGCCCCAGAGAGCAGGCCGGGGAGAGCCAGCCTGTTCAGGCTCTGGCAAGTTGAGGACTTGCTCAAGCGTGTCCTAGCTGCAGCCAAGGTGGAGTTTCAGACCCCATCTCTAACCCCCACGGATTCCCTTCCTAGCAGGATCTAACTCGTGGGAAGTGACTCCGAAGCAATTTACCAATCGATACTAGAGGCCGGCTGATTCCTACTACCGAGCTTTATTTAATTTCGAGTTCAAATCACACAGAAAATAAAATTTTCTCCTTAAAAGGCTCTGCGGAAAAATGCTGTCGGTGCCATGCGGCCGCCTCCGTGGCTGTGTTTGTGTCTGAAGAAAGGACTAGTCTGACAGGAAGAATTACAAATCTGGAGCTCATTTTGGCGTCCCCGAGGGAAGGTGGGTGGAGCGTCTCACAGTAAATTAGGAATTCAGAATGAAAGCGGAGCTGAGTTTATTTGGGTTTTTAGTGACACCTCGAAATTATTACACAGGCGTGTCGGAGACAGCTCAAAGTACCTACGACTGCTCCCGCTTCGCCCCGGGGCGGGATGCTCGGTAGGGCAGTTCCCCCCTCCTTCGAAACCCGTGGGACTCTCCTCTTCCCTGCGGGGTCAGGAAGGGTGGGAAGGAAGGAGGGCGGCTGGGATCCCCAGTCTGGGTTTGTTAATGCTGCTGAGAGGCGGAGGCCAATCGGGGGTGTGTCTGGGCTCCGCCTCGGGTATCCGGATCTGGGATCCGACTTTCGGACTGGAATTTGAGGAAGGAGGACAAGGTCTGGGGCGGACGTGGAGAGCAGGAAGAAATCGGGTTATCTTGCAGGGAGGCTGGAAGTTGAGGCATTGGTCCAGGCAGGGGAAGTTGAACGGCGGACGGTACTGAGGGTCTGAGTGGCGAGAGTTGGGCTTTGCTGGAGCAGGGCTGTACGGGGGAAGTCAGGGTGGGGTTGGGGTAGAAGAAAAGAGCGTGCAACGGTCACAAGCTTTCCCTGAGCCACTCGCATAGGCACACCCTGCGCTCAGCCGGGACCGCGGGCTCCGTCTTGCGCGCTGGCTGGACCCTGCCCCCACCCGCCGGTAGAGCGCGAGCCGCCCCGCTGTGGCTGGAGTAGGGGCGCCCAGCGGTGCGGGGGCGTGGCCAGAGGCCCAGCAGTGTGGGGGCGTGGCTAGAAGCCGAAGCCCGCAGCCGCCCATTGGCCACCCAGAGGCCCCGCGGGCGGGGCTCTCGGCTGGGTCCCTCTAGGGCGCTCTCGGGCGGCGGGGGAGGCGGGGTCGGCGGGAGCCGGCCAGCCAATGGGCGCGCGTCCCTCGAGCAGTTACAAAGGGCCGGAGCGAGGCTGCGGCGGCGGCGGGGAGGTGGGGCGAGGCGAGGCTTGCTGAGGAGAAGCTGCGGCCGGGGCCGGGCCGGGCCACAAACGGTGCCGGCGGGACCATGGAGGCGGCGGCTGCTGCTCCGCGTCGCCGGCTGCTTCTGATCGTGTTGGTGTTGGTGGCCGCGGCAACGCTGCTACCGGGGACGAAGGGTGAGCGGCGGGCGGGCGCCTGCGGGGCGCGCGGGCCGGGCCCGGCCTCTGGCTCGCTTCTGCTCTTTCTCAAACATGGCGCGGGGCCGGGGGCGCAGGTGGCGGCGCCCGGCCGGCCTGGCTTTCCTGACCCGGCAGGCGCCACGCGAGCCGGGGCGGGGAGGAGAGGCGGGGCGGGGGCGGTGTCGAGCGCGGTGTCGGGCGCGGGTGGCCGAGCGCCGGGAGGCTGGTCCTCTGAGCCTCCCGGGGGCAGCGACTGGCTAGCCCGCGGAGGTCGGGGGATGCCCTCGGGGGTGCGAGGCTGGCCGGGACCGTGGCCCCCGAGTCCTTTCCCAAAGTGGGTCCGGGCCTGGGGCTGCTGGGGTGTGGGCGGGCACCGGAGTGGAAGCGGTCGGGGGATCGGAGCTTGGAGGGCTCCCCAGGGGTTTGTAAGGGACGCCGAGGGCCGAGACCCCGGGTACGCGGCGCTGTCTCGAGGGAAGACACCCGCCAAGGGCGACTCATCTTCCACTCGGGGGGGGGGGGGGGCTTTGTGTGAGAAGCGGGCGGGAAGATGCGCGGAATGTTCGCTCTTCGTGCGTCTAGGAAGAGTTAAGAGTCCTGTAACCAGAGGGCTAGCGGTTGTCTTGCGAGTAGAAACTTGAACGTTTGTTCACTCTTCAGGTTTGGGAACGTTTTCATGGGATTGATGCTGTAGAATTGACCGAATGCTTCATTTTCTCGAAGGGGTCGTTGCTTTGGATATATGGTTTCCTTAAGTGAAGGTAGTTTTAGGATCAGACTTATGTGTTGCTGGGTTTTGAGTGGGGGAATGTTGTGTGGTTTTCCAAAATATTAATGCTGATTGTGATACTGGATGTCACCCCGTGGAGGGAAGAGGGAAAACTTTGTCAGTAACCGAATTAAAATAGGAGAAAGCAAAATACCGAGGCTCAGCGTTAGCAACTAAAATACAGTGAAAATACATTTCTGTTGCTGAAATTTGATAACAAATTTTTTTAAAAAAACTAAAACAAGCCAAAAAATGGTCTCTCTAGACTGGTTGCTAGCTATTGTTAAACTTAATAGTTAACTACTTACTATGAGTCGATTATAATGCATATACAAAAGGTACACCATAGTACAGTATCTGACACCCATAACCGAACCTTCAGGGCTACCAGTATTTGTCCTGTATATTGACATGAAAACTAAGATGCAGGAAAACTAAGATGCAGGAGATTAAGTTCTTACTAAGTGCAGAAGTTAGAATTTGCACTTAGGCCTTTCAGAGTTCAAAATCGGTGCACCTGCTACACCAAAGTAGCATAGCCCACTTAAAGAACAGTTGGTATTTAATACTTACAGCTTAGGTGTCTTTTTAAATTTACTTGAACATACCCTCCACATAGGTCTGCGTTAGAAGATACTGTGGGTTCTAACATTGACTTAGAAAGGAAGACAATTAGGGGCAAAGTGGGAGAATTGTAATAATTATGCATCAACTATAAGTGGCCCTTGCTCTACTCAGTTCTTTGACTAAAGCAATTCATTCTTTTCTACCTAGGACAAAGCACAGCACATGCATGTATTTAGCAGTTTTGATTTGGAGGCTGAGAAGGTTGGTCCATGCCATGGAAGAGTTTATCTCCTACTTAGGCAATTGTGTAATACAAACTGGCCTAGATGCTCTTACTGCTCAGAGCCTAAACTAGCACTTCATAAACTTTTCCTATTTGCCACCCTCTTTTCTCAAGAAATTCAAGGTCTGTGACCTAGAATATATAGAGTAGAAAGCAGGTATATAAATCAAACATTGTGATACTAATTTAAAATTATTTTAAAACAATTGATTGGTACATACAGTTTTGCCGTTTATTAAAGACTAAAGCAAATTTTCATAGTAATGAGGTGGGTGCGTTTATTTTACATAAAGAATTAAATCATTCAGTGCCACTTCACGTAATGTGTTTAGGGCCATTTCAGAAAGTGTTGGAAAGTCTGTCTTAATCACAAGATGAAATTCATTTAAAAATTTTTAACTTAAACAGTTCTTAAAATCAAACATTCTAACACATACACCACTTTGTACACATGAGGAATGGAAATCTTTTCTGTAGTTAGCCATTAAATTTCTGAAAGAGTAGAAAATTTTGTATGTACAGCAAAAACATTAAAACTCATAAAATAGTAGTCTGGACTGTTTTGGCACTGCGCAGCATGACAACGTGTATGTTCAGAGCCAAGGCCGTAGTGAAGTTGCAGGATGCAGCGTAAGCACGTACTGCCAGAAACACCTCAGATTCATTACTCATTTGATTTTGACTTAGTTTTGGGGTGTTGTATATTCAGAAGTCCTCTTCTGTTGCCAGAGTTTTTGGGACCCTCCCCAGCGCCTCTAATGGAGTTATGACTCAGTTTAAGAAGCTGTGGCCAGCCTGGCACAGTGGCACACGCCTTTAATCTCACCACTTGACAGGCAGAGGCAGAGATCTCTGTGAGTTTGAGGACAGCCTGGTCCACATAGTGAGTTCTAATCCTACCTTAAAAGAAGCTGTGGCTTAGATAAGTTAGGCTGATGTTTCAGTGTGTCCTTTTAAACATTCAGAAAAACTTGTATGTCTTTTCTTTATAATTTAGCTTCTTTTAAAACTGCAAGTTGCTCTTCACTGTCTATTATTTATATTTTGCTGCCAATATAGATTTTTGTAGAGAAATTGGTTCTTTGTCACTGGTACACAGTATTACTGTTTATATCTGTATCACATGTTCAAATGCTGTTTGTTGCCTGCCATTTCATGACTTTCTTGGAAAACATTCCTACCAGCTTAGTCTTGCCAGTTACCCCCTAAATCTACTTTTTTTTTTTTTTCGTTATGAACCAGTGCCAAACTGTTCTGGGCTGTCCATCGAGGTTTGAAGGTCTCTGCTGTGTAGTTAGTACCCAGAGCAGCACTTGACGAGGCTTGTGATTAGGGCCACCCACCTAGAGAGATCACATCTCCGAACATCTCCAAACTACAAACTCTGCGTTCTAGTGGTAGCTGCTTTCCCACCAGTTCCTGACTCTTCAGCCCTCTCACTGCGGGCTTCACCTTGTCCCTTCTATGGGAATCAGAGGACAGAAATTCTCAGACTGACATTCTGTGTAGGCTTCACTTAGCTCTCTTTGAATGCCGTCTCTTGGAAATGTATAGATTAAAGTTTGTGTTACCCATTGCTACCATCCTGTGTTGTTGACTAACTGTATGAGAACGTATTGAGTATCCAGGGTAGTAGTAGTAGTATGTCTTTTCGTTATGTCCTTAGAACCCAGCACTGTGTCTTATATTATGTTCTACATAAATGTGTCTTGATTAAATAAATTCTATTTGACTGGGTAGTCCTATTTATGTAAGTACAGATTGTGCTATATTAATTTAGAGTTACATATTTATTATATATATATAAAATTGGAGAACGTTGTGTGGTATGATAAAACAGCTATTTACTTTGTGATACTTGCTTTGTATAATTCATGAAATTGTAGAAATCAGTTGAGAAAAGTATGTGAAGTTTCTGGTTTTTTAGCAATGAGTAGGATAGCCACTGCCCAATAGGCTATTTGTGTTTTGATTGGTTAAATAAGCTACTATCCTTGTAGTGCCTATTGTTAAATGTTTTTAATACAACTTTTTTTATGGAGAGACATATTAGTATTTGTCAAGGAAGTAGTAGTATAGACTGAAGTGACTGGAGAGGGCTTCCTGGACACTTTCTGACTAAAAATGGTTTTGAAGGGTCTCTAGAATTCAGATAGACACATAGGAGGATTTGATGATTTTTTAAAGTTCTTTATGTTTCCAGTTACTGCAGGACAAGAATCAAGCCAAATGATTTTTTAGAGTTAGGTTCCTTAGTCTGCATTGTGTGTTTGAATGTATACATGGATAGAAATGAGACGGAATGGAAATTTAAGTAGGTGGTGTAAAGGAGAATAACATAATGGGAGCTTGCTCGCCAGCGCTGGGCATTCCAGTTGTGACGATCATAGGTAGATTGTCATTTCAGTTTACCCTGGAGAATCCCAAGAGTTATCACATTCTCAGGGCTCCGCAGTGCCAAACTGAGAAAAGAAGGAATTAGGTTTTCTAGTTCCAAATCTGTGTCCTGTCCTGTGCTTTAAAATTAAAAGTAAAGGACTTGAAGATGAGGGAGGAACTGGACTAGTGCTGATTTCCTTAAGTGAAACTGATCTTGAATTAACAAAATTTAAGAAAAGTGAGTTTTTCAGGAGGGAGGGAGGATGCTTATAGGTAAAAAGTCACTGTTTTTTATTGCTCATTAAGTAACTTGGCATAGTACCTACAGTTTAAGAGCAGTGAGCTGACAATATTGTTGCATTTGTCTTGGTGTTAAGAAAGGTGTAGTTGAATTGGGTGCATGTGGGGGAGGGGCTGCACACTGTGAGCCCTTTGCTGCGCTTTCTTGTCATGACTTACATAACACAATGTTTTCTGAACAGATGGACTGCGGTTTACTATCATGTGATTGGGACACATTTTTACTTCCTGCTTCTGGAATTAAGGGCAGATGCTGGCATGTTTCTCAGGGATGTTTTGCTTTTCTTCATAAAACTTGCTCTAGGAAATTTTGGACTAGTCTCAAATTTATAGTCACTTTGACCCAACCTAGCTGCAGCATTTAGGGCAGCATTGTAGGCCTCCCACCCTTTTTTTGAGAAAAGGTCTCGCCGTAGCTCAAACTTGCTAGGCACCTAAGACTTACCTTGAACTTCTGATCTACTGCTCCCAGAACAGTGCAGATTTATTTATTTATTTATTTACTTCCTTTTTTTTTTCCTGTATTGAGGATTGAACCCAGAGTTATTTTGTTTGTTTTTAACATGCTGAGCAGTTCCGCTACATCCCTAGCAGAGAATGTGTTTCTGAACTGAGTTTTCTTAAGAACACATCCAAGCACTTTCCACAAAAATTAAAAATCATTTTGTTGAAGTAGATCCTTTTTTAACTGTATAGTTG